TTTGGACATCATAACTGACATAAAGAGGCCATCATGGGAACGAATTCAGACTCGCTTATACTGAATGCCCCCCAAAAAGAGACACATGGCCCACAATCCGGCGACTCCAAGCACCAAATCCACCACATGTGCAGGCCTTTTCTTCTCTCTTTCTCTTCTTCTCCTCCTCTTTTCTTCTTCTTCTTTCCTGCCAAAGGGAACGCCCACGCGCGCCCGAATCGGGCCACTTCCACGTCGGACCCGGTCCTGCGTCGAGCATCCGGCGTCGAACCCGGCGTCGTTTCGAAGAAGCCGCATCGAATCGGTCCGAGGAGGCGGAAATCCGGTCGCCTCTTGCTTCTCCTCTTCTTTTCGCCGTTCTTCCCTGGCGACATCGGCGAACACAGAGGAGCAGAGTTGACTGCACGGCGGGTGTGGCAAGAAAATGAGGAATTGGGTGGCATTGGACTGGACCAGGTGGTTGTAGCGTTCAAGAAGGCATTCTCTGCAACATGCTGCATCTTCTAAAATATATGTTTAACTGGTACAAGTAAACATCGATCATTGTATCTCCAGGTTTGTGGAGTCTAAGAATGTCTGAAACTCCTGTCGCAACGTCAGCAACTTCCTGTCGGTCTTCACCTTTTGCTTTGCGGATCTTCGCTCTTCCAACACTTGGAGTCACTACATTGTGCGGAGAGGGGCAACTGCCCATCGAATCGTCCGAAAAGTAGATCTAGATTCAAGCAACAACAATATTCTCCACAGTGGAACTTTTGCCAATACGTCAGTTCATAGATCTGACAAATGGAAAAATGGGAAATACATGCAGCCTTATTATATATGTTGGTGGTTCTACATGTCGTAACAAACCCCCCAAATTGGAGTCTCTCAACGTTCGCGCATTCTCCATGCGGATTCTCCGCGTTTCGGCGGCGGCGCATCTCACGTCGTGGCGCCGTACCTGAGCGACGACGGGGTCGTTGACGGGGTCTACGCGACCACGAGACGTCTCCCTGGGATGCCACCAAGCCCTATGGCTCCACATGAAGTCCTGCCCGGAGGGGGTGGGTTTTGTTGGAACGGCCATATCTGTGCTTGCGACACCATGGAGTGTCTGGGATGGAAGTGGAGTGAACACATTTTCTTGGCTAGTGTTAGCCGTGTTACACGTTAATCCGGAATTCTGGTCATTTGCCGCCGCGTTTAGTGACAGCATGGTCGACGCGGATTCCAGGAGGTGCCAGCCAGAGGTGATTCCATTCGTACTGCACCGGGTCGGTTCGCGACCCGAGCCGATCTGGGAAGACGACCCCAACAAAATGCGACCGTGGAGAGAAGCACCGTCCCATGGAGTTTGACCCCCTTTCAGGGTGTTCGCACAAGAACGGACCCGAACGAAGACGGTCATGTTCCAGGTTCCATTCATCCGCCAGCCCAGCCAAGCGATCCTTCAACCATCTCTCCCACTCTCCCAACCACCGGGAGAAAGCCCCCATTTCTTCACCGTGGACCCCGTGTGAACCCGCCCCACTCTCCGACCCGAGCCGCTTGGTGCTCAGCAAGCGGTTCATCTTCCGCAGCTCCTCGCGGATGTCCGTCAGCAGCGGCGTCGCCAGATCCGACCTGGGCCGGACGGGGAGGACGGGGAGGACGGGTCGGTCAGGCCGTGGTGGAAGGATCGCACGTCCAGGCCGTGACACGGCCTCCCCACTATAAGGGAATATATGGGTGCATAGATCTGGGTGTGAACACACCAGCCGGCCACTCGGAATGCCTCCCAAAACGTCCCCCAGATGCCTCCCACACTTGTTTTTTTTCCATCCTCAAGTTGACCCCGAAAAAAAACAAAAAATAAAACGACGCGTCGCGCGCGGTTTCGGCTCCGGTCTCCGAGCTGGGTGTCCCGTCGACATCTTCGTCTGCACCGGGGCGGCCGTAGGGAGTTGACTGAGCAAAGCACCTTCCGGCAGCTCACCCCCTCGGCGGTCCAGGGCGTTCACAGAAACACTCAGTGGGTCGTGTGGAAGGGAAAGGGTTTTGGTGGGGGAAATAGGTGGGGCTCCCGATGTTATGGTAAAGTTGATGAGGATGTGATGAGTCTGAGGGTTGGTGATGAGCATCGCTTGATCTATGTATACTTTTTACTGGATTATTCATACAGCTCAATTACTTTGTGCAACAAACATCCAAACATCCCACGCATTTGCCAGCTTTGGGAGCTTTCACCGCAAGGGTTCTTCCATTCACCCACGGTGCCCATTGGAATTTGCTTCACACCGTGCCCATTTTCCTTCGCACGTTCTGTTTAAGCACACCTGTCGTTTGTCCAATTCAGCTTCCCACCGACCGTACTGTTGAAGAAACCATCGACCGTTTCGCCCATTTTGCTGACCTGAATGCAAACCTAAAGAGATGAGATGCTTTCGCACTGCACATGCTTTCGCACCCAAACACAAGTGAGCCTACAAGCAAGAAACGATCCAATTCCGCATCAAATCGTGACCACAAAATATACCAAACACACTCCAAAAATCAACAAAAATATATTAACATATATTAGCCATATCATATACTGTCATATATAGCCTTGGTTCAAGTTACAACAAGGTCGTTTCTTTGACTTCAAGTCCATGCTGGACTGAAGTTAGCGGGGAAGGGTTGCTCAACCTGCGCTCCCCAACTGGGAAGCCCGACGCTTGATGCTCCAAACGGCTTGTTTGAACCTCACCGGCCGGCTGCGTCCAGTTGGACCGAAACCGAGTCAGTCCAACCGGTTGGACCGAAACCAGATCGATCGTGGTGCCCCAATCGATCGGAACGGCAGTCGTATACACCTGGACCCTCCTTCGTTCAGTTCGTACCTTCGAAAAATATGGGACGTGACATGACCCGAAACCCAAAAGGGTTTGTATTTTTTTAAGGTTCCCGGGCCGGGATGTTTGACTATGGGGTATGCTTCGGAGGTATGCTTCGGGGTATGCTTCGCGCAGTGTGAAGACTAAAGTAGTAGCATTTCCAGAGGGTATGCTTCAGGGTATGCTTCGGGGTGTGCTTCGCCTAAGTCAAACATGCCAGCCCTACATAAACTGGACACCGGACACCCTAAATAAAAGACAAGCCCAATTACGACATGACTGTACCCATTTGGTCTGCAAGTCGACTCCGTTCCGGGTCGACTCCGGACTCCGGGACGGCGTTTACACTCCATCCGGAACCCACCGCAGCGCTTCGCTCGCTTCGCCGGGACGATCCGATCGGAAAAGGTGAGGGCCGAACGCTTGAAGGCTGTGAGGGCCGAAGTGGGCCCTGGGAGTCCAGTCCATTTTTAAAACGGTCTGACTTGGTGATCCGAGTTCAGGAACTTCCTTTACTTGGTGCCGAAAATAGTCGGACTTCTAGGGTGTGCGTGTTACGTGGTTCTGTTCCACCCCCCGACGGTCCATCAATAGACCTTAAAAAGTGATGCACTGACAGCGGATGACCGTCATCCATGTCCCAAACTCACCGTAGTAGGTTGACCTTCTCAGTATATATAGTCTGTTGATTTTCGGTGGTCAACCCAGGGCCCCGGGTTTTGACCCATAGCCATGTAAGCAACACATGAAACATAACTCATTCCAGTCCGATGGCTGGTCTGGGCTACTGCGAAGGTCATCCCACTCCATTGACTACAGGAGATTGAAACAGGGTCTCCAAACGATCTCTCCGCGGTGAAGCAGATTGTCTCTTGCCATGATCCTGATGTCGACAGATTTCAGACCCATAATCGAATGGATTTCGATCAACTCCGGAGCCATGGGAAGAGACTTCTTCAAATCCCAATTTGCAAGTGCCACTTGTCGCCGCATCGGTCGCTTGTGGCTGGTTGGCTCTGTGGGAGGCATGCTCGGTTGCTTGATTTGGTCACATATTTGGCACCCCAAAAGACCTGGCCGGTGAAACAAAAGTATACCTACACTACATATCAAGTGCCATACGTTATGTTGGCGTTCGCGTAGTCCTTACAGTCCTTACAGTAGGACTAGGGTTTTACCTTCTCTTCTTCGATCAATGATGGTGATCCAACTGCGGGGCTTTCACAAGTTGTGATGATCACTGAAGCGCTCTGTCATGGAAAAACCTCCTATTTGAAAAGGCTATGACGAATGGAAGTCCAGGCTTCACAAACAATTATCTCACCTAAAGGTCATGACTTTGGTTGGAATTTCCCTCCCAGGTCATCGATCTCGACCAGGTCATCGATATCGACCAGCGGCGCCAAGACTTCGTGGAGATGCGAAGACAACGACGTACAACAGCCCATCTTCGTCTTCCAAGCAGCTCGTGAGGATGTTTGAGACCAATAATCTCCAACTCGTGTCCTGGGCCCCCGCGAGGCCAGCGGTGTTTTCACCGCACGGCGGTGTTTTCAGCGGTGACCGAAGTTTCACAGATTGTGGTGGGGGTGATTCCATACTACTACCATAGCAACAAGAAGCTACGTTCGGGGCTCCTGGCATCGCTACGAACGGAGCAAGGACGCTACTAGGGGCTCCTGGCCATACTACTATGGTAACAAGAAATAACAAGAAGCTATTAGAAACAAGAAGCATGTGAGATGGCCAAGCCACTCGTGGATAACAAAAATCCAATTCAGGTTTGATATGGTTGATGCTTGATACGCTCAGGTTCCTTTTTTGTGCCAAAACAGTTCGGGCGCAATGACTATTCTAGAATGTCCCTTTAGGAAACCTCGCCAAAGTCAATTGCTTCATGATTGTATGCAAACATGTTGAACTGTCGTACAATTCCTCCAATTTGCCGACTATCCGGTCCATGTCCATCACAAGATTTTGGTCATCATAGTCCTTTGCAGTTTGCATGACTGCAGCAAATCGCCGTGTATGCCATAGACCCCACTAAGGTGCCAGTTGTGTCTTGTACTGTAACTTTCGGGTTGAAGCAGCAACAAGTTGCAGTGCAATCTCTTGGCAGATTGAATGCCGGAACGTCCCTTTACGAAAGCTCAACAGTCCAACCTACGAAATCAGCGCACCCACAATAATGCCGAAGTAGTTTGTAAAACACGAATCAGTTTGCTCCACTGTGTAGAAGACCTCCTCACCATCTTTGTTGTCTTGAATCCGGTACTTGTTGGCCTCCTCCTTCCATATGGTAGCACGGCTCACTGCTTGCAACTGCTCCATCGATTGCATAGCTGGGGGGAGTTTGTTTCCCTCATTTTGCCTACCCTTCGGCGGACGTGCTACTGGGCTCTTGAAATCAAAGACGTCGCGGTGGGACATGGGCTCTGACAGGGCAGTGACATGAACATCTCCACACTTCTGGCAAGTGAGGCTGGAGGATAAGGACAAACGACAAATACCAACAAATGGTGGCATGGGATGCAGCCAGTGTACTCAGTTCCTGGTCTGCCTTTAAGCCAAGCTTAGGCAGTTTCCTAACAAATGATAATATATCCAGCTTGATGTTCTGAATGAATGTCCAGGCATACCATAGAGAGTGCCCAGCTAGGAGCACTGCAAGTGCCATGCTTCGAGTGCAGCATTAACACGGTCGACCTCACATCGGCACATTTTCACACAGACCTGTCAGAAGCGGTCATCGTTGGGCTCAAAGCTCTGAGAAGTTGGGCGAAAGGCGAAAGCAAATCGCGGCGAGGAGGTCATCGCTCCTCCAAACTCCTCATAGAGCATACAGGTCATTTCACCCACAGAAAGCCGGTTTTTGTTGACACACATCAAACAAAGCTTCGGAGCCTGCCGACTGTCTGCCAGAGCCTAAAAGCAGTCGATGGAGAGCAGCGTCTGAACTCAGTTGGACGTCTGGCTCTGGAACAGGTCGTATGTTGCGCCGTGGGTGAGCCGGTGAGCCTCGTTGATCGATGGGTGCAGATCCATGATGTAATTCAGACGCTGTGGTCAGGTCCTTAAGAAGTTAAAACATGTCTTGCAAAGCTGCAGGAAGGAAGAGTTCCACCCCTAAAATTCTCAAACATCTTGTCAATGAATATATGTCTTTCTGTAGACTGTGTTCAAGCAAGGTTGAATTTAGATAAGAATCTAAACGCTCTTAAACATTAGCTAAGACATGCTCTATACCCGTCCAACCGTTGGCTTCGCCTGACCGGCAGGTCTGTCCCAACCGGCTGTCTGTCCCGTGCAACAAGAGGTGTTTCTAACTTCCGCTCAACCAGGTCCCAACCTCTTCTTCACATCCAGTTGGGACCTTCGGTCAGGTTCTATTGCCCAACTGTCACATCGACGCATGTCCCAAGCATCGACGCGAATCGACTCCACCACGATCGCTTCGCGGGGAGACACCGCGGAGACTCGGAAGGCCTCGAGTTCTCGGTGTCGCCACGCTGGACGAGCTGGACACGCCCGGGACACGCTGGACACGCCACGCTGGACACGCACTGGGCGGCTTTGACTAAGCACTAAGTGCCAGACGTGACCCGTCTGGGACTGCCATATGTGCCGATCAATTGACCCCCCTGGCACCACCACCCCGGTCGGCCGTTTCGGACTGCCCATCCGGACTGGCAGTCCCATGAGTCGCATCTGGTAACGTGCTGTGCTGTATTTTCCAAACACCACCGGAACTGGCGATGCCGCTGATCCACTGAGTTCCCTTTGACTATGCAAATCTGGCAGTCCGGAAGGTCTGGATCTCTCACACCCGATTTTAAGACTCCAACAAGGTCGTGTGCCGGTCTCGCATTGCGAGTCTTCAACGGGTTATCGACCTCACAACGAAACACCAAGACCATGATCAGAATTAGCAAACAGTGCAATGCCATTTATACTTATATTCCAGCCAAGTTTCGTGGCACACCCTCCTTAGTGGCACCACTCGAAGCAGTATCCACTGTAACCTGGCTCCAGTCGAGTGGGTCGTTGAAGACGTGGAGGTCTCGGGTCGTTGTATTTACCCTAGAAGTCCAAGGACTATATTTTGACCGGCTGAAGTAAAGGAAGTTCCCTTTCAGTTCCCCTAAAGACTATTCCTTTTATAGTCTTTGACTCCCAGGGTTTACATGTTTGTTGTATATTTGTCAAAACCTCCCTGGAACTGGAACTGGAAGAATGGCCCCGAGTTCGGAACATGAAATCCACAGACCAAACAGGTGCCATCCACTTCCATAGCTTTCGGGAGTGTAACCTTCAACCAAGGAGGTTTTTTTGTGGTCATGGCGATTCATGCCTTTTCCTTCAAAACCGGTGTGATCGGAAGGTGAACGGCTATGGCCAGTTCACCCTGGAGCAAACATTGTTTTGAAGATAGCCTGGATGGTTGCACCGCTCAACGATCCATAGCAGCGGGTTAGAGATTTTTGTATAGTAGGGCCAGTATAGGGCCAGTATACTTGTACATTCCAAACTCCCATGGACCCAGCTTGCGTCTGGCACCGGTTTTTCCTCCGGTTTTCCGACTCGGGTGTAAATGTCTTCGGACCTTTGGTACCATTGACACGTACGCCTCGCCACCTCGCCACCCGTGCCGCCTGGTGCAGGATATTCCGAATGCAGCAGCAGCATGCTGTTCCAGCCGGCTCCTGATGAGAGGGTTCCCTTCGTTTAAAGAGAGAGAGAGAGAGAGAGAGTGCCCCGAGGGTTCCCAAAGAGAGAATGCCCCCCCAAAAAAACACTGCAGGTGACCAGGTGACCAGGTTCCTTTATAACCCTTTCTCCGCGCTCCACATTGGATAAAACGATCCAAAAAAAAAGGAACTCTCAGCAATTGCAAGTGCTCAGGCTGTTCAGGTCTTAAGAACTTTCTTCAAAAACAACACCTCCCAACCCATACACCCCGCTAAGCCACTCAAGCGCCGTTCCAAAAGCCCGCTAAGCCACTCAGCTCCTGAACATCGCAGTCCGTGATCTTGTCGTACGGGACCTGGGGGAGCAATCTCTCATGAGGCGGCTGAGAAAAAGACGGAAGAAAATAACACCTACCAGGTGCTTCCAACGCGTCACCTGGCTGGACAACCCTACCTATAGGGCTCCATTGGGCACCCATTGGAAGTGCTATAGGTATGTTGTTTTACGGATTACCTGGTTGCCTATTTGCCACAAGCTCTCTGCGATGCCCTGTTGTTTGAAACAAACATATAAGCGGGTGCAAACCCTAGAGTCCACATTTACATCAGCCAGACTTGAAGGACATCGACATGAACCATGTACTTTCTCAGGTTCGGTACGACTGGGCCCTCCTGGTGCCTACATCAAAGTGTCGAACACAATCACCCTCCGTGTTTACGGCTGACAAAGGCGACTGTTTCCACGGAACATGTCTTCCCAAGAAGAGGTTCTAAATGGTTCGGACTTATTTCGAATTGTGGCCTCTATGTCTGTCTGTATAAAAAACCTGACTAAAACCATGTTGGAGCTTATGTTGGAACTTATGTTGGAACTTATGTTGGTAGAGCATGGCCAGATGTGGCCCATTGGGCTATGTAGGAAGACATGTCGCAAAGTTGTCGGAACTTATGTGATGTGTTTTTTGAATTTTTAGATTGTGATATAGTTAGGGTTAAGTGATAGCTAGGGCTAGGGCTATTATACTTCATCAAAAACCTGACTCCTCCATATCCTCCTCCTCTCCTCCATCTCGCCGCTAGGGGTCAAAGGAGGAACCCAACCCACTTAATAGCCTGGGCCTGGACTAGGTGGAAGAAATGGTAGGTAGGTAAGTATATAAAGATGAATGTTTCATTTGCGGCTTTGCTGCTGCATTTGACACCTGCCGCTATTTCCTTTTTTGCCGAAAGGTCGCGAGTCGGGTCAGTCGAACTAAAAAATCAAAGCTCAAGCGGGCCTTCACTAGTGCACACAGATTTTACAAGGACGCCGCTCTGTCACATTTGACTTGCTACTGATGCCCCGACACTTTTGGTTGGCATGGTAGCAGCGCCCATCAGGGGTAGAATACAGCACTTGCTCCAAAGTCTGACCTGCTGTAGAGTACTTAAGGGTCTCGGTTGCTGCCAATGCTGTCTTGTTTCGCTCCTTCTCCAAAGCCTCCAGCCTTTCACAGACACGTTTGTATTCCTCGACTGGTACATAGGAGTCATAGGAGTTTTCATCTTGGCTAGCATGTTTGACACAAGGTTTCTCGTTCCCAATGCTTCGGTGCCAGGGCCAGAAACAACAAACAGACCCTGCCACAATGGCCACAATTGTCAGCAATGCGGTGCAGCACATGACCAAAATGTCAGTATTGACAGCAATGCTGGCAACGTCACTGACGACTTCACTGCTGGTGTTGCTAGACATCGCCAAGCCAGTATATGATGCACTAAGCAGGAAGAGAACCTGAACAACCCATTGGCTGCAAAGTAAAGGCATGCTCCCCATCGCCATGAGGATATATACGATTATGATTGACCCAAACAGACGCGATTTCACTGTACAGTGCAGTATTGTTTGAGGCTTCAAGGCTTCAAACTTCAGATTCTAAAAGGTTGGAATCCAAAACGGGTCAACTGTCAACTCAATTGAAAACACATGTCACCTGTCAGTATCTATATAGTGAAACCCAAGCTGCCCCCGCAAAAATTGCTTGCCCATCAGGTACAAGAGTTGTAAGTCAGTGTATATTGAAGTATATTGTATACAGCAACCATTACAATTACCATGTTTCGGGTTTCGTGGTGGTTGGTGCCGCTGCTGAAGACCCCTTGCTTTGCCTACAAGTTGCCACATTCCCTTTTGTCGAGGCTGAAGCGGGCCAGGTTGGCCAAGTCTTTCAGAGGTGCCCATGCTCTGCTGCTGCCACTGCATTGAGGCAAGGACTGCAAACTCTGCAAACTACAAAAGATCTACGAAAGGAACCCTGAAGAAGAAGTGTCAAAATTGGCAAACTGGCAAACGGCAAACCAAGTTGACAACTCAGAAGTTTAGACTCTAGAGAAGTTTTAGACTCTTCGTCAAATTACAAAAACAGTGATCAGCAATAAGAACCGCCGTTAGATGACTTGAAGTTCTGTCGTCACTTGTTTCTAAACGAAGCAACGTAGCCTGCGACTTAATTACAGCCGCTGCCAGCCTGCCTTTTTCTCCCTCAGGGATCTGCCCAAAACCCTAATTTCAAAGTGGCCTCAGAATCTGAGTCAGTAGGGTCACTGGCTGCTTCATCACAAGTGCCTGTGCTTGAACTTGAAGGGGTGGTGGGTAGAGTTCCAAGTGGCCTCAGGCAAAGCAGGTCGGACAAACATCCGCTGCAAAATCAACGAAAGTGTTTGGGACTCTGCTTTTGGTGTGTTTTTTCCAGGTTACCCCCGTCCTTGTTTGCCAATGAACACATCACAGGCCAGTCGGTCGGACCGTTAAAATGAAATATTAAGACTAAAACTAAAAACAATGTCCCACAGCCCGCAGCCTACAGAGTCTACGGAGTCCCGTGTCAAGTTCTCAAAAAGTCAGCCTTCGCTCGGACTCACACCATCAGACAACAAAACCTTAGCAGGTGAGTTGCTCCGCATTCTGGTCAGATGATAAAATGTAGGCGAGGACTGCCACGACACAACTCCCCACCACACTCGTGGTCATGGCATTTCCTGCGCAATGCATCAGCGGGCACTCTACAATTCAGCAAGCTGGGGCAAGGGGGTCAGTCTTGTATGGATACAGTGATACATCATTGAAATGAACTGCCACTGAGTCTTGTCAACTCCAGTCTCAGCTCTACCAACTCTACTATACTGTACTTCCTTTACGGTGGCTTCTTCTGAACTTCTTTTGCACTTTTTACTTTTAGCTTTGAGTCTTGAGTATATATTGCTGGGGTAGGCACCCATGGAAAGCCAAAATCCGACAAGTATATAAACGTGGAATGCGAGTGTGAATCGTGCACGAATTCCTTTTCCGTCAATTGATTGAGTCAATTGCCACTACCACTTACCACACCACCTTTTGTCACAAGACAATTCAACTCAACTCAACAATGAACTCAATGACTGAACGAACATAAGTCATAAGGAACAAAGTTGGATACTCATGACTCAGCACTGTCAAGCGTCACATCACTTGTGCCCTTTGCTCCTGCCAACCTCGAAATTGTCGCATAGTCGTTGTCGCTGCCGGTTGTCTCCATGCTGAACTCGTCCGGGTCAAAGCCTTGCGATGTGAGGATGACCTGCCAATCATTGATTGCCAAAGCATTCCCTTCCCACCCGCTTTCACCCTTCAGCCGTCCTGTTTTTGTCAGCATCCCCTGCTTTTCAGATAGGTTCAAGTTTGCGCTGCTGCCAACTCTTGTGACAGGAACGCTGTGCTTGCTGCACTGTACGCACTTGATAGATAAGCCAAGGCAACTCAAGAGGTCACAGAAAAGGTGACCAAAATCTCTAGTAGGCCCTGGCTTTGCCACTGCTCAAAATTCGGCTAGCCTAGACGACGACTGCTAGCTAGAATTGAAGCCACGGGGCACAAACAACGAAAACTGACCACTATATACCGGCCATCGAATCGGCCACTATTTTAGCTAGGCTAGGCTGCAATTATCTTACAATTGGATTGGGCTTGGGGCTGGGGGCTGCTTCGCATGTTTTGAATAAAGTTTATTGAATTGATTTCAATGTTCAATCCAATTGTGTTAGGAGGAGTTTCTTAACGTGAGCCTGAGCTTTCACCTACAGTAGAATTGCAACTAGTGGCCCATGGCATTTTGGTTCAGGCCGCGGCTCACTTCTCCTTCTTGGACTTTTTTGGTTTTGCATCATTCTTCTGGTCGGATTTGCGCTTCTTCTTCTCATTCTTCTCCTTCTCATTTTCCTTCTTCGCATCCTTCTTCGATTTGGGAGCGTCACTCTTCCCACCCCCTGGCTTCTCACCAGTTTTTTTCTCAACATCCTTCACCAGCTCTTTCAGCTTGCCGGCCAAAATGCTTTTGCCAATGCCAAAGTACTTTTGCGCATACTTCTCGTTCTTGTCGACATCTGCAGCTTTGGAAGTGTTACAAATGACCGTGTCAGTAAACAGCATATGGACTGCAAGATGCGCGACTTTGTCGAACTGATTCTTGATGGCCTCATGGGTCTCCTTGCAAGTCTTCAGAGCATCTTGGAGGGATGAAGATTGAGCCTGGAAACTCAGCACAGGGTTCATTTGATTGGAGAATTCTAGTAAGTTCTTTCGGATGCCTTTGAGTAGGTCGAAGTCTGCATTGATCTCCTTCTCAGACTCGTTGCTGAATACCCACTCAATGTCCTTCAGCTTCCACTCCTCAATGCATGTCACAACCCCTTCATACTTCTGCAGAATGTGGGTCATTGGCTCCATCAAGGTGTCCTTGCTGTGTTCCACAGACTTGGTCAAGGCTTTCAAGAACTGGTCTGCGTAGTCTTGGCACTCCTGACGCTTTTGTGCAAACACGGCCTCATCCTGGAGAATACTGTTGCCAGCACACAAACATGCTGACTCCACCACGCTGAGGTTCGGGGCCAGCTCTTTAATGTCAGCATTTTCCAAGCCACTGGCTTCTCACAAAGTCCGTTTGCAAAGCATTTGCCAGTGAAAGATGCTTGGAGGGCAAGACTGTCTTCAGGTCATGTCCCTTGAGGGTGCCTTTTGCCAAAGACATGAGTGCACGGGAGCTGCAAATCTTCTGCATCCTTTCAACCAAACGAAAGACTGCTTCGAAGGCTAATTGGGCTTTGCAGTCCTGGTTGAGTGGATCTGACAGACCTCCCCCGAATGTCTCGATGCACTTCTCAACATACTGGACACACTGAGTCAAGCGCTCGATGCTGTCAGAATCACCCTGGAGTGCCCCTGAATACTGCGAGGTGAGCCTTTGCCATGTGAGCAACCCTTCAACAGCAGTGGAACTCCCCGGGCCACCTGCCACCAGGAAGGCATCGATGTAGCCTCACAGCCGCAATCAATCCATGGAAT